AAATTAAACCGTCCGGGGGAAGCCCCCGCCGCCGCCTTCCCCCGAGGCTTTTAAAGCCGCGGAGGGGCTCCGGCGGCGGGGCATCCGGCGTACAAGACGACCCCCGATTTTTGGGGGATGTTTTTTAACTTCAGAGGTCGTCTTGTACGCCGGAATATACGGTAGATATAGTCGCCTCTGAAACACACACAGAATTCCAAAATACTGTTCTTATAGTCACTTTACAGAGCAGAGCCACACTAGAAGGGATCTCTGTAGGACAGTGGCTTAACAAGGCGGGGCATCCGGCGTACAAGACGACCCCCGATTTTTGGGGGATGTTTTTTAACTTCAGAGGTCGTCTTGTACGCCGGAATATACGGTAGATATAGTCGCCTCTGAAACACACACAGAATTCCAAAATACTGTTCTTATAGTCACTTTACAGAGCAGAGCCACACTAGAAGGGATCTCTGTAGGACAGTGGCTTAACAAGATTAAAGATAAGATCCGTGCATAGTATTCTGGGGTGTATGATAATTGTAGCAATAATAAGGTGATTGGGAGTCTGTGGAAGGATACTAGTGGCTTAACAAGATTAAAGATAAGATCCGTGCATAGTATTCTGGGGTGTATGATAATTGTAGCAATAATAAGGTGATTGGGAGTCTGTGGAAGGATACTGGTTGTGTCCTGGTAAGCAGCTTAGCTTCTCTTTTCCTTGTTTTTGTGGGTTTGTGCCAAAGTATGTTGTATTTAACAAGCCTGCTTTGCAACAAAATGTTTTGGGTATACTACTATATAATAGGGTTTAAACACATTTCCCAAATGCCATAAACATTCATAAATTTGAGTGATGGTAGCAGTATTGACTCTTAAAATAGACCTCCTAGATTAAACCATACATACGAGACATCCTTGACAAAATATGCAAGCAACAGTCAGAAGGCATTTTTCTTGTAAACGAATAAAGAGGGCAAATAATGTCCTTACTTTTGCACCCATATCCAGAAGTTGTTGTGCAAATGTTTTTGAATAATTCTCGGTTCTGTTGGATGACCATACTTCTACATATGCTGAAACACCTGGGGAACAAAAGTTATATATTAGCATGCGCTTTTGTCTAAGTATATTGAAAAAAACTTGCTCAAGTCTCCTTTAGGACCAGATTTTATGATCCTTACTCATACTGAGTAGTAACTTACTTCACAAGAAATGTCTGTGTGTGTACGCATATTACCAGCAATTACACATGTTTAATAAACACCACACATCAGCAACAGAAGGCATTTTTGTAAGACTAGTTCAGAAGGGCTGCTAAAGTTTTAGTAAGAATGAAACTGACAAGTTTGCCGAATACAGTAAAATTCCAATAGTCCGGCATCCAATAGTCCAGCACTCCTGACAGTCCGGCATCAAAATGGCAAGAGCCTAGTGAATGAGCTTCGGCAAAAAATAAGTCACAAGGTAACAGCAGCAGCAGCTGAACTGAGCGAAAAGGGTAAAAAAGGCTTAAAAAACTAACACATTACAGTATACTGTATACAGTATGTACAATAAAAGGGTTAAGAACACTTTATATACAGTATATATATATATATAACCATTTTATAGTACCTCCTGATAGTCCAGCATATCTGATAATCCAGCACCACCTAAGTCTCATAGGTTCCGGATTATCGGAAGTCTACTGTACATTGCCAAGGTTGGCCAGTTCAGCCTGGTAAGTGTATGAAAGCAGTGTTTCCACTAAGCTGTGCAAAAGCACAGCTTCACAGGTGATTAATCACCCAGTCAGAAGCCCAGGACCCCATCCATGCAGCTGACTGGATGGGGCTGATTAATCGCCTGTGAAGCTGTGCTACCTCGCAGTTTAGAGGGAACACTGAATGAAAGTACAGCTAATTCTGACCTTCCAAGCGACCCTGATGTTTTTGTCTGACTGGTATCTCACACTTTTCAAAAACCCAAACACCGAGTTGAAATTAATTTTACATATAGGGCTTAAAACTGGATAGCTTCCATCATTTATTTCCTGATCTATTTATCTTCACAATATTTTCCTACCTCATAGGGATGCTATTACATCAATTTTATTGAGGCACTGAAAGACTGAGTGATTTTCCCAATGTTACATGTGTAGTCTGAGGAGCATCAGTGAATTAAATCCAGGTCTCAGACTAGTAGAGGCCTGCAAATCTGTGGATATCCTCTATATATCTGCAGTCATCCTCATCGACAGATATGGATGTGAATATCATTTTTGCAGATATGGATTAGGGATGCAAGTGAGTAATCAAGTGGCGCATCGACTACTTATTCCCCCTCCCTTGCTACCTCTATCAGGGGGGGGCAGGAACTGCTGCTGGGGAGAGCTAGCTTAAAATCCAATTCCCCCCAGCACTATCTCCGCAGTGCCGCCTGTCCCCCACCCCCACTGCTGCGAAGCAGCTTCTGCCCACGGCAGGCTGAAGCTTGCCATGGGAAGAGACTGTTCCAGCAGCAGCCCCTGTCCAGAGGTCTTAGCAGGGAATTGGGCACCCTTATGGACAGGGGTTATTGCCGCTAAGAAGCCTCTGTCCACAACAACCCAGGCTCCAGCAGCAGCCCCTGGCCGTGGCCAGTCCTGTCCACAGAGAACAGGGGCTACTGGACTCAGTGCGGGCCCAGACTGAACAGTCCCATCTTCCGCTGGTCCGAGACACTGTGCATCTGCATTTTAAATGCAGTAAGAGCCTGGCAGCAGTTACAACATTTAAAATGCATAGCCACAGCACAGGTGGCTCCTAGAACTAGCATGAGCCAGGACTGCTCAAATTATATTGACTACAAACTTAGATAACAGCAATTTAACATCCTCAATACGGATACAAAATTGTATCTAGAATCCTGCAAATTTGTGAATCTCCACTTATATCCCCAGATGTGGATGCAGATATGGATGTGGATACAAATTTTGTATATACACTAGGGATGTCAATGTATAAACTACGTGATTAACCGATAAGCCTGGGCTAATCAGTTAATCCAGTCACCTACGTGCATTCCCCCCACTTGCTGCCTGAGGCAGCATGGGGAGTTGGAGCTGGTGTCTGTGGGGAGCCAGTGTTTAAAACAGCTCCCTATGAGTACCAGAGCCACCTGCCCCCCTACCAGTCTAATAGAGAAGCAGCAGGGCGGAGGATGATGGGGGCAGGTGGGAGCCAATACGCGCAAGGAGTAAGGATAAGTAATGGTTAATGGACTAGTCAAGTAGTCGACGGAATTTCCATCAAATACTTGACTAGGCAATAGGCACTTCCAGATTCCTTTGAGGTGGCATTTCAAAGGCACAGTGCCGCACAGCTGATCCTGGGCTCAGCTCTGCAGCGCTGCCGCTTTGAAGTACCCTCTTTCTCCCCCCTTTGCTGCCTCTATCTGATAGAGGCAGCAGTGGAAGGGGGAGGGCAAGGGAATCAACTAGTCGACTGACCATCTAGTCGACTAATCCTTAACAACCTTGCGAGAAGCAGGCTTTTAAGCCAGTTCCATGAACCTGCCAGCCCCCCTTGTTGCTTTCTACAGAGGTGAGAGGGGGCAGGCAGGAGCCGGTGCTGAGAGGGAGACGACTTTAAAGGCCAGGTTCTGACCGGCACCAGCTCTGCAGACCTGCCTCTATCAATGGAGAGCTCAGACCTCCCGCAGGCAGGGGCTGCTGCCACAGAGCAGCCTCTGTTTGTGGGTTTTGTTACTCTGGTGGCTGTTCAGCAATGCTGCCAGTTAGCAGGGGCCAGGAGGTACTGTCGCGATGTCCTCATGTGTCTCTGACTCATCAATGATGATAACCAGAAGGCTGCTTACATGTGTGCTCCATGATGTGTGCCGTGTAGACTAGTGCACTTCGTCTTCACAGAAGACTCCAAGAGAGCCCCCAAAGACCACAAATCAGATAAGGATTGAGGATGCCAGGCTAGGTTTATTGTTAAGTGAAATACATTAATAGTTGTCAAGAGACTCTACTGAACCACTATGCATTTATACCACTCTCCCCCTCCGCCTTCCCTTCCTCCTCCATAACAATGGAATGGCTCAACACAATGAAACACTTCCATTCCCCCCAGGCCATTCAGAGACAGTAGCCCAAAACACCACCTTATATCCTGGTACAAACACATCACTGCTGACGTGTGAAGTTGCCACTCTCTGATGTTGTCAAGCTACCACCAATCACCTTATGAACTGATTAGATCATCTCCATCCATCATGTATTAAGCTTGACCTTTTCTTTAACCAGAGTTAGTATTTGTGGGGAGTAAATATCTATCAGGTTGTTTATCTTAGACCTTTTTCCTGACCCTGAGTTAGTATTTATGGGGAGTGGGTATCATGGCCTTTTTCAATGAGCTCTGTGTTTACAACTCATGATAAGCTCCCAATTACTGCTCTCTACTGGGTTTGTGCTGTCTCAGCTTGTTTATTTAACAAGGTTGTTTTCTGCTTACCTCAACTTTTCTTTATCCATATCTGGTTCACTGTTAGCTAGGCCTCAAACCAGACCTGTACTGCACTGGCTTATGTTTTAGGCCCTCATCTTACTACAGTGGGGACCTCAGATCCCTCTCACTTGTGTCATAGGCAGCAGCGCAGGGCAGCAGATGGGGGCCAGTCTGTGTGGGGAGTTGGTTTTTAAGCTACAGAGGCAGCAGCATGAAGTAGCAAGGGGCACCCTGGGAGTGTGGCCGGAGCATACTGGCTGCTAGTTCCACTCCTGGGGACTATTGAATAATTGTGTAATCGATAATGTTTGATGTGGTTACACATCTAACATTCCTAATACATAGAGGGCTCTGCAGACTAGAACCCTCACCAATGGACTATCCTTAGTCACCAAAAAATTAAGGTGTCAGAGTTATTCCTTGGCCCCCAAGCTTACTCCACAAGTTGCGTACTTGTTTTATTCAAGTTGCTCCAAGCTGAATTCAAGAACTATTCTGAAATATCATTAGCTAATATATATATATAAAATGGAGATTGCCTATCTCCTAGAGCTGGAAGGGACCTTGAAAGATCATTGAGTCCAGCCCCCTGCCTTCACAGCAGGACCAAGTACCATCCCTGGCAAATTTTTGCCCCAAATCCCTAAATGGCCTCCGCAAGGATTGAACTCACAACCCTGGGTTTAGCAGGCCAATGCTCAAACCACTGAGCTATCCCTTCCCCTCCCTCCAGCTATTTGCAATACTGCAGAAAAGGAAGTGGTTGTATCATTTGCAGCAAGAGTAGTAATATCCAACAAGGACACATTTATCATCTGATGGCATCCACTCGTGGCCAGATGCTATCAGGATTAGAAACATCAGCTAACTAGCCCACAACTAGCAAGTGAACATTCTGACAATAAATCCCCTATATTTGTATTGCTTATTCTTCCAGGCTTACTTCAGCATTTACTATCATGGCATGATCACTGAGCATGTCTATATAAGCAAACTTAGTACATGTATTTAGCAGTCATGCAGATACTAATATGGACAAGATTGGGGTATTTTACTACTATTTCATGAGGATTTACTCAGTAGTTTTCATGATACAGAGGTAGACAATGTTCTAGTTATTTTTACATCAGTGCACATGGTTATGCCACTTCTAACAGTGTAGCTACACCATTGCAGACAACTAAGGATGTTAAATTGCAGATAATCATCTAATCGAGTAGACAATAGAATTTCCATCGACTACTTGATTAGCTGATGATGGGAGAGCACTTACTACATTTAAACCTCAGAGCTATGGGGGGTAGCAAGTTACCCCCACTGGGCTATTAATACATTTAAAATACAGAGCTGCAGTGGTTCCAGAGCAGTTCTGCACTTTAAATGTAGTTAGTGTCCAGCAGGGGTAGCTTCTAGGGCCAGCGCAAGCCAGGACTAAGCAGTTCCCATTCACTCGGGATGTTAAAATTAATCAACTAATCGAATTGTCGATGGAAATTCTATCAACTGTTCGATTAGTCGATAAGGACACTTCCACTTTGAAATATAGCAAGAGCCTGCTGGGCTGTTGCTACATTTCAAAGGAGGAAGTGCTGCGCAACATTTCGCCTCTGAAATGTACAAGAGCCCCAGCAGGGGCTCTTGTACATCTCAAAGACTGAAATGCCATATGTAACCTGGGATCAGTGGGGGAGTCTGAGTCCTCCGCTGCCTGCAGCGCTTCCACTTTGAAATAAAAAAGAGCCCTAGAGGGAACTCTTATACATTTCAAAGACTGAAACCCTGTGTGGAGCTTGGGACCAGCAAGTCATTTCCAGCAACAGTACACTTCCATTAATGCTTGCTAGTGTGTGTTAACTTAGCACTACTCAGTAGGGATGTAAGCGACTAGTAGATAGTAGACTTATGCTTATCGGATAGCTGAGTAGTGACAGCATACGTCACTTCCCCCTTGCTGCCCCTATCACAGAGAGGCAGCAGTGGGGGGAGGGGAGCTGAGGGAAGGGGAGGGGAGGGAGACTAGGAACCCGTGGGGAGCCAGCTTAAAAGCTGGCTCCCCCCAGCACCATCTCGGGGAGAGGGACAAGGGTGCAGTGAGGAAACAGCGGGTGGAGGTAGGGTAGAAATGAAGCAGTCACCACTGGCACTGGTTCCCACTAAGGCCTCTTCAACCTTTGAAATGTACAAGAGCCCCATGGGACACTTGCACATTTCAAAAGCATAAGCGCAACAAGGAGCATGGGGGAGCAGAGTACAGGCAGTCCCCGGGTTACGTACAAGATAGGGACTGTAGGTTTGTTCTTAAGTTGAATCTGTATGTAAGTCGGAACTGGCGTCAAGATTCAGCAGCTGCTGAAACTGACCGCCAGTTCTGACTTACATATAGATTCAACTTAAGAACCCCAGGCATCCCCAAGTCAGCTGCCGCTGGAACTGATCAGCGGCTGATTCCAGGAAGCCCGGGGTAGGGGCTTCCTG